GAAATTTAAGCTTAACAATAATAAAGCTTTACATTTAAGATTTACATCCAGGATATAATCATGTATACACAGGAAATACTGTCAAATTCACATTGGAAAAAACTGAACAACAACAGCAACAATAAAGGAGGATATTTTGCTGAAACATCTGATAACTATCCTCTCTTGACCACTCAGGGAACCCAGGAAATCTAAGACTATTTTTCTGAACCATATTGGTAAATAGCTGTTTACTCAGCTGTGTTCACTATTACCTGACTTACATGAGACATCCTTGATCTCTACTTCTTCTCAGGCTTTTACGGACACTGTGACTCTAGTCTGCCAAACATTGTAAGCCACGCAAAGTGTTCATTATTTCTATATCTTCTCTGTCATTTCTCTCTTTTTATTATTTTATCGTATATTTTTTTTTATTTTTACAACTATTATTTTGATGCACAACTAGTATTTACCTTCTCATAGTGACTAGCAAGCATTAAGTCAAGTTTCCTTGATTTTTTAGCAAACATTAGAACATAAGCATACACATTTATTGTGAATCTTCTGAACCACTTTATGCCTCCTGCCTGCTCTCTCTGAGCCAAAAAGTTAAGTAGTCTGTGCTCTCAATTACCTGGATCATCTTTCCTTGTCATATATACTATGTTGAGATAAATCTAGAATCTAAAAGTTTCTACCAACCCTAAGAAGTTATGAGAGGTCCAATTTTTCCTTTGTTGTAGGGACTTTTAGAAAAACTCTTCAAGGGATTTTCTCAGGGAACTGCTAGTTTGGCTTTCTCAAGAGGCCTTTCTGTCACCCCGCATCTGCCTTCCACCCTTCTTATGGAAGATCTCTCACTCTCTCCTTACCTCTCTCTTATTTTCACCCTGGATGAAGTTTCTCTCTGGGATTTATATGGTATTTATTTTAAATTTATTCATTTTTATGTGTATGAGTATTTATTTGACTATGCATATGCATATGTCTTATTTAGGGTTTCTCTTACTGGTGTGGGGGCCAGCCATGAAAAGCTAAGTATGAGCAGGTCACCCAAAGGAATTTCTTGACTTCCAACCATTATCACCTACCAGAGTAGAACTTTGCCAACCATAAATGTAATAAAGAGGCCTGAGTCTCAGTAGTTTGCCCTGAGGCAATACCTGGTTGTAGGAGGAACCACAAGCTGAGATTACCCGACCACTGTCCAATAACAGACCATCCAAGGGAGATGCCTAACATTCCAATAACCATAGACAAATGTCAGCCAATCAGGGCTTCTGAACATCAGAGACCCCTCATACCCACCTTTACTATTATAAAAACCCAATTGTAACTGAGCTTGGGGCTTTCTGGTTATTCCAATATGTTGGACATGCAGAAAGACTGAATTTATAAACTTGATTAAAATAAAAGCTCTTTGTTTTTACATATGGGACTTAGTCTCCTTGTTATTTTTTGCGAAGACTTGACAGACTTGGGCATAACACTGTGAAGACACAATGACTGATCAAAAATACCAAAGTATGTACAAGTCAAGCAACTAAGAATTTCACCTTACCTGCACTGACCACTACAGGTTAGGGCCTTATGAACATTGTTTTGTCTATGCTGCCCATTATGATAAGTATGATCACCCTACCTTTGGTGATTCAGTGCAACCACATGGTTCCTGCTTGCTTGGGAGCCAGATTAAACCCACTGCATTTAACTCATTCAAGATAATTTTGTTATCAGGAACTAGAGTATTGTTGTGATAGGTCTGACCATGTTTTTGTTTGTAGAAATTTGGGCTTTGGTATTCTGGGTAAGGAAAGCAGTAGAATGTTTAAGCTCTGCATAATGAGCCATATTAGTAGGAGAATGGAAGACAATGGTACTAATAATGATTTGAACTGATGACAGTTGGCTAAAGATGTTTCAAAGGAGAAGAATTTTAGTATATTGCTTAAAAATCATTCTTGTAATATTTTGGTGAAGAATGTTGCTGCCTTTTACCCTTGTCTGAAAATTTTACCTGAGGCTAAGGTGAAAAGGTTTTGCATTAATTCCCTCAGCAGAGGAAATCTCAAAACAGCCTGTTATAATTTTTTTTTATTTACATTACCAGTGTAATGAAGATATATAAGGAAAAGGGGCAAGCTGAGCAAAGAAAAACATTTGTGAAGAAATGGAGCACCAGAAAGTGGAGTGGAGTTAACCTCTGTATTCAAAGAGATAAACAGATTAAGAAATGGAATAAAGGAAGTCATGAGTCCAGAGAAAGATCCCACCCAACTATGTTTTTAACTTGTAAAAAGGAATTAAAGGAAGGCTTGGAGCTGGGTCTGGTAGTGCACGCCTTTAATTCCAGCACTAAGAAGGTAGAAGCTAGTGGGTCTCTGAGACAGTCTGTTATATGTAGTTTCATCAGTAAAAGAAAACATAAAGTATGTGAAGATATACTTGAACAATGGGTCCATGTCCTAGGCCCAGTATACAGCAGAACTCGGTAGCTTTAGCCAAGTGAGTCTTGAGCTAGGGATTAAAAAGGGGGGGCATGAACTCTTTCTTCATGTCTAATAAAAGCCCCTGAGTGGAGGCAAGTGTCAGGAAGGGTGTCCCTTGATAAAGAGTCCATTGTGAAATTGAGACTTAGGTTCCTTTGGATAACCTAAGATGTTGGAGATTCCCAATCCATGAGATACCTGCTGAGGGAAGCTACTAAAAGGAAGAGGAAACAACCCAAGAGAGCAAAATATGTTGCAGTCAACAGTGGTGAAATAAGTTGGAAATTAAAGAATATTTTTGGCATAAAACATGGAGATGTAGAGTTCAGTGTTTGCCCAGCTGTTTTTTACCTTGCTTTAACCAGTATTTCCCCACTATGCTCCCTTCCCTGGGTTTTGGAATGGTAATGTATATCCTATATGTTGGAAATATGTGATCTGCTTTTCATTTTGATTTTACAGGAGATTATAGTTAGGAGATTATATGAATCTCAGAAAAGACTTTAGGATTTTGAATAAGTTTGAGACTGAATTATGAAGCTATGAAAACTTTTAAAGTTGAACGGAATGAGTATTTTAATTATGATATAACCTTAGGGAGCCAGATAGTGGAATGTGGTAGTTTGAAAGAAGAATGATCCCCATAGGGAATAGCACTATTAGGAGTTTCGGCCTTGTTAGAAGAAGTGTATCATTGTGGAGGCAGGATTTTAAGTCTCGTTTTAAGTTCAAGATACTGCCCAGTGACAAAGACCACTTCCTGTTGCCTATAAGATGTAAAACACCCACCTACCTTTTATTACCATGCATACCTGCATGTCACCGTGTCATGTCATCATGATAATGGACTAAATCTCTGAAACTGTGAGTCGCTCCAATTAAAAGCTTTTCCTTTATAAGAGTGTTCATGGTCATGCTATATCACACTGCAATAAAACCCCAGTTAAGGCAGCTTGTAAATATCTGTCATCAAAATAAATTCTTCATTCTGATAGAGGTAAGGACTAAAGAGAAAGGCTGATAGTGTCACAGAGGTCAATGGGAAAATAATTCTTATTTTAATTGCTCATCCTCTTTATGATGGTCATTAGAGAAAACATCATGTTTTCCATTATTCATGATAATGCTAGGTTTCAAATATCATACCATGGGACAATCAATGATACAGATTCCCAAGAAAGCATCTCTAAGCAGATTGGTGCATGTTTTACTTAAAGATTTAAGAAGAATAAGTTTCTGCTGTTTCTTCTTCACAAAATAATACCTTGGGCTTTTTCACCTCAGAGGGAACATTTTGTGACACTTTCAAATCTCCCATAAGGTGGGAGAGAAACACATTGTGGTGAAAACTGAATTGCCTTCCTGTCTTCGTATGGTTCATTCAGTCTCCTGTGATAGTCTCAGACAATTAATTCCAAGGGGGATATTACAACAGACATCTATGAGTATTTTCCCAATATGCCATCTATCTGCTTTTGTAGTTGTCAATAAAAAATATTGATACTATCATGGTGAAGTCAGCTGGCATTTCAGGAACAGAATTTTTCTCTCTGATGACTTAAAATATAAAAAAGCAAGAAATTAGGAAACAACATTCCTCAAGACCCAGTAATACCGCTTTTGGGTATATATCTCAAGGATGCTCAATAGTGCCATGAGGACATGTACTCAACTATGTTCATAGCAGCATTGTTTGTCATAGCCAGAGGTAGAATGCTTGACTTTTATGCATGAGGCATTAAATTTGAATGTAAACACTATACCAAACAAAGAAACAAGAAAAGAGTAACAGCACACACATGTGCAAATACACAGACAAATAGCAAGAAAACTAATGTACTTTGTTTTCTTAATAATAAATTCTACTCATAATTTCCCTATGAGAATGTTATTCTTTTTATGCAATTGTATTTTTTATTCTATTACATTTAGAACATAAAGAATAACTATAAAATAAAGTATCTTGAAGACATAAGAACAGAAATTAGAGAAAACTTATTAGGATAATTCTGATTCCTCTCAGTTTCTGTGGTTAAAAAAATGGTTTAATGTGATGAAGCAGTTGTGGTGGAAAACTAATTTCAATGGGTGTTGTCATGGATTCTTTAATGAAGACAATGGAATTATCTCCCTTCAGATGTATGGCCTGTTTGAAAAACAAGACCTTGTGATGAGGTGGATTGCTTTATATCCTTATCTTTAAATACTTGGAAGAGCAATACACATTTTTGAAATGTGATTTGAATAATGACTTTTGTAAAGAAGGGAGGATCATCTAACTTTCTTTTGTACATCAAGTAAATGTATTTTCAAACACTGGCATGCCATAGGGAGTATGCTGAACAGACACAAAACATATTTAAGTGTGGTTGGATTGCTTTTATTATCTGACTTGTTTTATCCCATTGTAGAGATGCAAACTGTTCACACTGACTATTAATGAAGTGACACAAAAAGACAAAGGACACACCAATTTGTTTTTAAAAGAACCAGTATTTATTAAGAAATTATGTGCTGAATGTGCCTACATCCTGTAGGGATGGTCTCTCCCTTTTCCACTGCACAAGACAATATCCAAGAGATTTTGGAAAATACAGTGCTTGGGAATAGAGGATTCTGAGGACTAGGGAATGAGATGAAGGGGTGTGTGCACTAACTGAAATTTTGGGATCCTAGGACAAGACAGTCTTTTTCTTATTAGTCTACTTCTCATCTTTCCAAATACTGAAAACTGTCTGCAGAATTTTACAGTCAGTCTCAAGTAAGAGGTGATTTTTGGGTCATTTCAGCTCACTAGTGCCAAGCATGCTCACAGGTCAAACCAGTGTCCTTAAATGGTTGCATCACTTCTGAAATAACGGCATTCTTTTATTAATAAAATGGTGCTTAGAAAGGGCAGAAATATAGCTTTTTCAAATAGTTTTCCTCATAGTCTAAAGAACCTTAAACTATAAATAGAAAATAAATTATAGAAACTAGCATACAATGTATATTCTCCATATGACATTGCTGGAAACAAGCTTTAAATGTAGAATTGCAATACTATGTGACTATGTGATCAACAATGACACATGCTAATCATAAAAATAGCTTTTACAAATATACATTTGTATACAGTGTCTCTCTCACCATTCATTAATGTTCTTCACACTTTAATACTTACAAAACATAATTAAAAAGAGGGAAAACACATTTACCATGTAAACCATAAAATGACAATTTTATAGCTTTTAACACATAAGAAATGGTATGTCTAAAAGTGAACAGTATGGTCCATATGACTGGGGCTTTACATAAACTGAAGTGGAGGTGCTGCTGTTCAGAATGAAATCACCTTTGATATTTCTCCGCATGTCAAAGCCTCTTTTTCTTCTTTTACAATATTGTATACAACTTCAGATCACTTTATCTGTAGAAACTGAAAAGAGAAAAAATTACTTGAAAAAGGCAGACATTTGTGGTTTGTTGTTTTTAGCATGTGGGTATACAAATTATATCTGAGGAGTAAATAAAGAAAAAACTAAAGCAGTAACTATGACTTTAGATCATATATGTTTTAAAACAGTATTTTAAAACATACTGTTGATTCTTTCAGATTGATCATTGTTGAAATAAGAGCAGCAGGGTTGCGTCCCGGCACCCGGCTGCCCGCATGGCTAGCTTATGCCCAGAAATAATTACACGGAAACTGTATTCTTTCAAACACTGCCTGACCTATTAGTTCCAGCCTCTTATTGGCTAGCTCTTACATATTGTTCTAACCCATTTCTAATATTCTGTGTAGCCCATGAGCTGGCTTACCAGGGAGGATCTTAACCTGCGTCTGTCTGGAGCGGGAGAATCATGGCGACTCCTCACTCAGCTTCTTTCTCCCAGCATCCTGTTCTGTTTTCTCCGCCTACCTAAGGGTTGGCCTATCAAATGGGCCTAGGCAGTTTCTTTATTAATAAGAAATCACTCCCACATCAGATCATATCAACCCCTACGCCTCCTGTCACTCCTCCAAGAAGGACTACCCCCATACTACTTTTCTGCCTGCCTGTGTTTCTTTCTTTCTTTCTTTCTTTCTTTCTTTCTTTCTTTCTTTCTTTCTTTCTTTCTTTCTTTCTTTCTTTCTTGCCTTCCTGTCTTCCTGCCTTCCTGCCTTCCTGCCTTCCTGCCTTCCTGCCTTCCTGCCTTCCTTCCTTTCCTTCTTTTGTGTAGATCCTTTCATATCTACTTTGTGCTGCCCATATACTGGTGAGTATGAAGCCATTCACAGAAGCATCAAAGATACAAATGATAAGAACACAGTAATCAAGAAACATTGATTTGAAGAGATCTAAAAGCCTTTATTGGTCCCACATATATAAATGCACATTTCATGAAATCCTTGTCAGTGTGTGAGACTGAATTGTCCTTTGTAACATATAGACTCAAAGATTAGTGTATTAGGATACTGTTCATATATAAGCAGTGTGATTAACTTCATTAAAAATAAATTGTGTGGGGCTTCAGAAATGGCACAACTGGAAAAAAGTGTTATAAAATTTATAGACACATTGTCTTAGTGACTCATTCTGAAGATATATCTGGGCTCTGTATAATTTCATACTTAAAAGTGTTTCAGTGTAGTTAATTAGGAGGACTTACTGAAACTTAATAGAGTATAAACTTAAACAGTAGGGAATTGTTTTAAAATTAAACAGATCACCTAATTTTAATTTAAAATTGTTGTATTAACAACTGAATTGAAATGCCTAATATATAATTATGCGTAATTTTATATAATTTTATAATTGTGGTTAATGGTTCAATACAAATTTATTATTGTTAAATGTTGAGGTGTTCCAAAGGTTCCTTCATTTATTACATACTAATTTCAAAATAATCATAAATTACATCGATTTTACAATATTTTTCAAAACAAAGGGAACCAAATTAAACAACAACAACAAAAAAACTAGACCTGCTGTTCTCCCAAAATCTTCAAAGATCTTTGATAGAAAAATTATATATGTGCCAACAACAAGGACAGGACTAAATTTGGCACTTAGGTAATACTAAGTGCCTGGATGTGTTCAGAGGCCGATCTGTCTTGCACAAGTCATCTTTAAACTAAACTCAGTGGACCTAGGTAGCAGTTTCTCTTTGTCATCCTGCGCATCCTTTATGCTAATGAAGAGCACAACAAGAAAACCTGATTGAGTCACAGGGCTTCAGGTTATTTTATTGTTGTTGTTGTTTTATGGGTTTTTTTCTTATTACTGAATTCTTACTATGGCTATTATGTTGAAAGTCTAAAGAAGGTAGGACATACTAAAATATTTAATATATTAGGTATTAGGAACTTTTTCGTTAAAAAAACAGACTGTTTCTCAAAACAGACAAATAAAGTATCAGTAAATAAGAAACCAAATATTTTATATTACAAATTATATTTACAAGGTTTGGGTGCCAAATTACTATTTAAAGACTCTTACAAATGCTTTGTGGATTTTGATGCATTTATATGTATTGTCTTAAAATAATGTATTTCAATTTTCATTTTCAACTATAGTATATCTTATGTAACTAAAATTAAACAAGTGTTAATAAAACTTGCATCTGCAGAAAACAACAATCCAGGAATATGACACGAATGCATTTTGATACTATCTTTATATAAAATATATATTTAATTATCTCCTTCTCTTATTTCTAATTGCTCAATCTATAGCATATGCATCTTAAACATGTATTTAAAAATTAAAACATTCATTTTTTTTTCTTACTATAATTCTAGGTTGTGCTCATGTATAGGAGGAATCAATTATGGTATAAAACCACAATATTTGGAACTCATGATTCAAAATTATATACTATTGTTTGTGTGGACTAAAGGAAGTTTTGTACATAATCTGTAAGTAAATACTAAAATGAGAAATTACTATTTTGGAAGAAATACCTTAAACAATGTCAGTTAACCCCCAGATGAATGCTATTATGTGAAAATCAAGCACTGTAGTATTAGAAGCTAATTGGTAAAAACAGCATGCAGGAGGGAGCTAGTACAGCTGAAATGGCTGCAATCACCCTCTTGTCATAGAGTCTTAATTAATTATTTTCTTACTACAGATGGAAAATGCTGTAATTAATGTTGTAGCTGTTTTGTAAAGTTTCCATTGACTGTATTTTTTTCATATTAAATTCTGAGATATCACTTTGATTTAGAATATTTGCATACTGTTCTGCACATCTGGCAATTATTCACTTTATTAGAAAGAAAAACACCAGGTTGTAGACTGCTGTTCATTCTCTCTTATGCTTTTGATACCTTTCTTTATTTCCTCCTTTGTTCTTTAATTATAAATGATCTTATAAAATGATGTCTGTAGAGGAAAGAAAAGAGGAAACGAGATCTTGAAAACAATATATTGAAATCTTTCCAGAAATTTATAAAGTCTACCATGAGTATAAGATAAAAGCTTTATTAACTTTACTTTGTGTTGTGCTGTTATTAGATATATAGAAACATGACGAATATAATTTTTTTATTAAATAATGGAAAAATTATTCTCTAAGATTTTATAGAAATTCAAATGTGAGAAAGGCTTCCTGTTGATTTCTAATATCCTGGAGAGAAAGGAATAAGCTGTGACATTCTAGATGTCTTCTTTTCCTTCAGGTAAATGACCATTTGTAAATTGGTTTGTTTAGTATAATGTAAAACTAATTGTGCTCTCTTGAAGAGTGGGAAATTTATTTTTTTGCTGTATGGAAGCTTGAATGCTTTTAAAACAAATTCGCTTGATGATAAATATTATTTTTTCCAACTCTCATTTGCTTTTATTTCTGAAAATGACAGAGGAAATCACTCTAACAAGACTGTATTATTCTTCTTCTGTTTTACTAAGATGAAGAAGACAGCATGAACCACAAACCAAGTTTGTTTACTTTTAAGCCCCATGTATTCATGTTTGTTAAAATAAAGAGATACCATAAAATTGGAAAAACTACAACTTACATAAAGTTTTACCACAAAATAAATAATACTTTAAAATACAGTTTATGAATTATCATTTATGAGAAATGTTTATCTTTCTAAATTGTGATGTGTAACAATCAGATATTTTATATTGTCTTTGCAGTATCCTTAAAGGCAAAAAAATAAGAAAAATTATGTAATATTGGCACATATATAACAGTAATAAGTACCTTATCAACACTGTCCACAAGGGTATGCTATGAAATTTATCATGAAGGGCAGTGGGATTGTAGGAATTTGAGACATGACTAAAATTTAACCAATGATTATTAAATCGGGCAAATGAAGAGTGTGTCAATTAGAAAATCCAGAGAGTCTTGGTGGAAAGTTTAGTTGTGTTCATCAAACAACTGTCCACATGTTGAAATAGGAGTGGCAGGGCTGTGTCCCCGGCACCCGGCCGCCCGCATGGCTAGGTTATGCCGTGAAATAATTACACGGAAACTGTATTTTTTCAAACACTGCCTGGCCCGGCTAGTTCCAGCCTCTTATTGGCTAGCTCTTACATATTGTTCTAACCCATTTCTAATATTCTGTGTAGCCCACGAGCTGGCTTACCAGGGAGGATCTTAACCTGCATCTGTCTGGAGTGGGAGAACCATGGCGACTCCCTGACTCAGTTTCTTTTTCCCAGCATTCTCTTCTGTTTACTCCACCTACCTAATTTTCTGTCCTATGAGGGCCGAGGCAGTTTCTTTATTATTAACCAATGAAAGCAACAGATAAGATACAAGACCCACCTCCATCATCTACAAATATATCTTACTATTAGACATGAGCCTGGCCTCTGATAGATACATCGGCAACCCAAGTATATTCAACCACAGCCAAATCTGTTTTAAATCCATGTTCTACAATAACAATGTCTAACCCTAGTGTCCAAATTTTACCAATGGGAAGAGAATACTCAGGACAGAGACCAGGCAGATTTAGCTATCAATATGACAGAAAAATTAGAATCAGGCCTTCTGAATTTTATGCCACTCTGTATTAGTTTATACTACTGTGATATCGCTGAATAAAACCCACTTATTATAAGAAAGATTTATCAGAAATGACTTTTAAATATCTGATGAATTGGTACATGATTGGTTGGCTCTTCTAAAGTAATTTGCTGCTGGGCGGTGGTGGCGCACACCTTCAATCCCAGCACTCGGGAGGCAGAAGCAGGCGGATCTCTGTGAGTTCGAGGCCAGCCTGGTCTGCAAGACCTAGTTCCAGGACAGGAACCAAAAAGCCACGGAGAAACCCTGTCTCGAAAATCCAA